TCCTCACAGCTTCATCAGAGCCAGACTGAAGAGAACACAGATGAACATTTGAAAACAGAAGCAGATGGAGAGGACTGTGGAGAACCAGAACCAGCCAGGAACTTTAATCCAGGTCTTTTACAACCTGAGGCTGGAGACAGTAATGACAATTTTAATGCTGTTAAAGTCCCTGTAAGTGATATGGGATGCTATACGGGCCAAAAATATGTCAGCTGCTCGGATGGTGGTCGAAGATTCGGTAGCACGGACAACCTGCAGATCCACATGAAATGTCACACTGGAGTAAAAACATTTAATTGCCCGTTCTGTGGTAAGAAATTTACAAAAAGCTCAAATTTAAACACCCACTTGAGAGTTCACACGGGGGAGAAACCGTTTACCTGCTCGGTCTGTAACACCAGCTTCAGTCTGCGTTGCACGTTGGTGAATCACATGAGAGTCCACACCGGGGAGAAACCCTTCATCTGCTCCGTCTGTGCTAAAAGATTCTCAAAAAAGACTAACTTGACCACGCACATGGCCCTCCACACCGAGGAGAAGCCGTTCAAATGCCCGATTTGTGACAAAAGGTTCACGTGGCACTCACAGGTCAGAAACCACAAGTGTGTGGACGGCAGCAGGTGAAGGCGGAGGGATCAGCAACAACATCTGTCCAGAGTCTGTCTGCTCTCCAAACCACGTGAGAGTTTTCTGTAAAATAACTCGATTAGAGCTGTTACTGACGGCCCTTAGCCAAATTAATGTTACAGTTGGAGGACAGGTGGAGTAGATTCGCCGGGTGTCCCGTAAACGTTGACCACCTACCTGTAACGAACCTGAGACTCTTCATCATGAACCCATCGTTAAAAAAGGAGGAATAAACCTGGGGTTAAATGTTTCACTACCGGGCCTACAGGTGAATATTACCTGTGTGAGCTGTCCTCTACTAGAGTTACAGATATAGATACAGTATATATATATTGAGGACCAGTTGATTAGAGCCTGACTAATAAATTAGATAAAGAGTATCTTTCTGTATTTTTGTATCATTTAATGCAGAAGAAAAATGCTTGTGGGAAAATATCAGTGTCACTGCAGAGTTTATCCAGCAGAGTGCGCTGTGATAAAGAAATACTGAAGGACAATGAAAATATTACAGTGAGCAGAAGACGGTGAATGCTCAGAGCGTGGTTAGAGGAAACAGTTTGAACTAGTTTGTCCACACAGGACTACTGTAAAACTTCTAATAATAACGATATAAATAAATACTTTATTTGCTTTAATCACAGAACTCAGCAGGTCGGCTTTAACATAACTTCTATAAATTGGGACTTTTAATAGAAGCTTTACGGTAAATTAAACATCAGATTTGTGTTCTGAATGAAAAGATGAAGAGAACAGGGAACATATTCGTGAATGGGAACAAAGGATACGACTGATACAACAGGACAGAAAGCTGTTCATTAAATTCAGTAATAATTAAAGGAGATGAGATAATAATCATTTCAGGGGGTTGTTTCCTTTTGGTTTGCTTCTCTTTAATCATTTATTGATACTATAATTTACTCATTACTAGTAATAATATTATATTCCCCAGTAACTTGTAGTTTAACTAACTACACATTTATTTCAGTAATAACATTACAGTTACTCCCCCAAAAGTAGTTACATTACTTTTGTTCCTCAGATTCATTTTTGTAATCGTGGAGGAAACTAGTTACACAACTAAAAACAGAAGAAGTATTTAATTAATTTTAACAAACAAAACTGGATTTAAGTAGCAGAGAAGTAATACAACTAGTAGTGTAACTAATTACTGGCAGGGAGTAATCCATTATTTTTTATAAGCAGGTGGCGCTATGCAACCCAATATGTGTCTGGAGGAGAAGTTGCTGTGATATCCATTAAATATGTGACTTTTACGGGTCAGGGGTCGTCCGTTTTACTAAATTTGACAGAAAGGGCCCTTAAGTAAAAAGCGTGTGAGAGCCACGTACTAAACCAGTTTACTGGACTGTTTATATTGAAGGTTAGCAACCGCGCCCCGGAAGTGCTACGAACAAGGATGGCCGTCGAGCCAGAAGAAGCTTTGCTTTCTTTGTTTCTTTGTTTCAACCTTTCGGACCACGTTGTACAGCCACGTCTGTGCTTTTAATTTCCGCCCTTGGATATTTTCTCTGAAGCTACAAGTAAAGTGATCTTAGCGAGTGAAAATGTGTAAAGTCCAAACGTTCTGAGAGCTTTGTGAAGCAGAGACTGAGTGCTGCTTGCTGAGGAGATAATGGAGCATGTTTGAGAGAAGCTCTCAGAGAGTACGATGGACGAGATTCACACACACAAACAAAACTGCTGCACCGGCTGTGTCTTAAAGGCCTCGGGTCCCACTTACACGGATGCAGGTTGTTCACTGTTCAGTAATGTTAATCAGTCATTTCAAAACCATTATTGCTCAATCAACAACAGGTTGAGACAAGAAAATAACCTAAATTCGAAATAAATAACACTAGAAATGAAATATAAAAGCCCTAACAAAGTTATAAAATGTAACTAGCTACCAAAATAAAAACTGTAAACAGGTGATCAAAAAGATAAAGGAACGGAGTATCACTTAGATGCTGTTGACCAGAGGTGATGACTTGTAGACGGCCCAGGACTATTGCAGGCAGGCTGGATTTTAGATATTTGGATCAACAGCTGTGAAAGACCGAGAACCTGATTCTCTCTCT